GGGGGGGGTGGGGGGGTGGGTGGGGAGCGATAAATGTGTTTGTTCGAACCGCAGTGGTCACATTTCACGTAGGCAAAGTAAGAAGTTGATGTGTCGTGAAATTGATGGTCATCTGTGCTGGTTAACGATCTCCTTTGATCGATTTTTTTCCTTTCTGCCTTCTTAATGACAGGATTATTTTGTTTTCTAGTATCTTTTCGAAATGGTGAAAGATACACCCGAGGAGGTCCTTGTGTCCCTTAGTCGGAAGTACACATGGGATTTGGAGACACGAAAAGTTGTTGAACAAACCTCATCCCCTGCTATCGGCTTCGCTCTACTCAAGGTAGGCCCGATTCCATCTCATTCCCTTTTAATGTCAAGTTTGTTTAGACTCCTTAAACGCTCAACCTTCGAATGCAATACTTGATCACACTAAATGGCCCGACTTGGAGGTGGATAAATTCACTATCTCTCGAAGTAGCTCCATCCTCCTGCCTTAGAAAACGTCTTGTAGACATATATAGGGGTCTCTATCTTATTAGCCTGGTTCAATTAATAACAAACTATATCAATTCAAAATAAAGTAGGAGAGTTAAGCGGAATGATGATGATGATGATGATGATAGTTGTAGTGGAGAAAAAACCGAAGAATATTTCTTATCACTGCCAGATTCCATCCATTCTCATAAAGTTGCCCCTTACTTTTAGGTGGAAAGCAATAGAGATGTGAAGGCACACCTTCTTTCTTCCTGCTCTGTAGTGGATGCCCATCCAACGAAAAGCCATCGAGCAGTGTTTGGTCGATACAATCTCTCCCATGGTCGATATGTCCTTGTTCCATTCCTTAAAGAACCTCAACAAAAAGGCGATTATTTCCTTCGATTATATCTTCCACGGAATGTGATGAACAAGTATATTCCATATAAAAAAGAAAATGCACATATAGAACTGTAACGAAGCGGTAGAAAATTTTTATTAAGTCTGAATTGATTTAAAAGGGGGAGTTTTAAAAATACAGTCCAATAGGGTATGAATATTATGGTCCTTCAGTTTGCCCTTTGTTTTATGCTCTTTTTTATTTTTGAAGTCTTTCTGCTTCGTAGGCTTGAGGTTCGCTTGCCAATCCCTTAATTTTCCACCGGCGTTTAATGGTCTGCCTCACACATAATCCCGTTTTCTATCTGACAATTCTAAATAGCCTAATAGATGTAACTTTGGCTGGGTCAGATAATGATCATCAACTCAAGAGAATGAAAAAAATGCTTTAAACAGCCTGTCCGTCAGTATTAATTAATTAATTGTTTTGTAATTGCATTATTCTTTAGAATTAGTATTAAACTGTTACCGTTTTTTAAACTATCTGCTTTCTACTTAATTCAAAACAGTACCAGTTGTTGCACTTCCATTTCAGAGAGCTCATCTATGACAAACCACCAAAAGGGCCTTTTGAATTCTTCACTGGATCGCCCAAAATAATCACTCGAATTGAGATACTTCGAGGTGAAAATCTAGAAAGTCTGAAAAAGAAAAGCTTTGGAAAGAAATCTACGTCCTCGCCCTATTGCAAGGTTTTCTGTGAAAATAGCTCTTGCACAGGGCAAATGATCTCCGACAATACAAATCCCACGTGGAATGAGTCTTTTATATTTTTTCGCACCAAACCAAGTAAGCAACCAATCAGAATCGAGGTGGGTTTTGCGGCTTTTTTGGAAATTGTTCACGTTTTGACCTAAATACTACGCATTAATAGGGCATAATTTTTTTCAGGTTTATAATAAACAGGCTTTTGGAGCAGATGAATTTCTTGGAGAAGGTATTTTAAATGCTCCAGAGTCGACTGAGAATGGCGATCGTGAGGTAAATCTCTTTACGAAGGCAAGAAATATTGCGGATCGAGTTCGGTTAAAGGGAACGATCCATGTGTCTATAACCACTGTGGATATGGCTAATTTTATGGAGATATAAGACAAATCAACCAGCATGGCCCTCTTTCACTTGATCTAGATTGTTTATGGAAAAAATGAAGCTTTATTTCTCTATGTTATCTAATAAGATATGTTGCTTTTGTACTGTATCTATTTATTATTTTTACATGCATACATCTATGTAGAAAATATAGCCTATAAACTACTCCTATTCCTTCCTCCTATCCTCTAACAAAGTGGAACTTTATTGATATTCCTAGTTCAACCA